ACTCTCAGATTTTTTTTTTTTTCTTTTTTTTTTTTGTCTTTTTCCTTTTTATCAGTACCGGGGATTGAACTCAGGACTGCCTGCTTACAAGGCAGGCGCTTATGCCGCTGAGCTAGATCCCCAACCCAACTACTCTCAGATTTAAGTCTTGCAACAGAGAGTAGCCCTGCTTTGCTTCCACAAAGTAGGTACCTTTCACACCACGCATCTAGCATCAGATTTTCCGTGGCTGTGCTCTGACTTTCTTGGCAATTACAGCATAGCCAGGCTGACCTCTAACCTACACAGCTTTCAGGATAATCCTCAAAGGCCAGGGATTGAAGAGCCAGGTCTCTAGGTAATCTAGTGCCGCCACATCCCTGCCTTTCTCCCAGACGAGACAGGGAAGGGAAGTGTAGCAGAAAGAGCCCCCACGATCTCCAGACACGTCTGAGGCTGTCTGCACTTCCTCTTTGTGTGACTTTGAATAAGTTATGTGACTATTCTGAGCCTCAGTTTCTTCATTCCTGAAATATCAGCAATAGCATCTAATGCTCTATGCACTGCAAGTATTAAACACCAGTTCAGCAATTTCCCTGTAACATAAATGCTGTCTCTCTTCCCACTTCTAATTCCTTCCTGCCCTGGAACTCCAGAAGGCCCCTCCTGGACCAAAACCTATACCTGCCCGTATCTTTATCAGGTTTTGGAAGTACCTCAAATTACTTCATTATTCAGCAAACATTTATTGTGCACCTACTATGTACCAGTCACTGCTCTAAGTGCTAAAGATGCTGTGGCCACCAAAGCACAGTCAAAACTCCCACTTCCTAGTTTCTGTCCTAGGATGTATAGAGAGGCTCCGGAGAAACTCACAGTGCATGTACATGTGGTAGGTGGTGACAAGGTCACAGAGGAGAGAATACAGCAGAGAAGCAGACTAAGATACAGCAAAAGGGCAAGGCTCTGCCTGTGGAGAGGAAGGACCTCTCGGGGAAGGTGGCAAGGACCCACGGGTGGTGACACGGGCACCTAGAATAAGCTTTTCTTTCTACACCAGAGGGGACCCTGCAGCTCCGGGCCTAAGCTGATTTCCAAGAAGTGCCGGTGGAGGTGGCTGGGCCTTGGTGGAGCCCAGCTTTGAGGAAGAGGGAAGATGGTTGGCACATCAGCTCTGAGGGGTACGGGGACAGGTTGTGGGTGCTACTGATGAAAACAAGTCACCCGCTTCTCCATCTCCCAGGAACAGGCGCAGTTGTGCAAACAGCACCTGCCTGGCTCCTCCAGGTTTTCTAAAGGAGGTTGTGCATCCCTGGGCACAAATGGGCCTCAGAGGGATTCTTCCCAGGGCCAGGGTAACTAATGCCCTCTTCTTTTTCTTAGATTCCAGAGTGGCCTTGGAAATCTACACCCTCCCTGTTGCTGGCTTCTGTTCAGCAGGCCAGGGCTGGAAAGACCTCTGCTGTCACTGGCCGCCAAGGCCAGGAGGCACGCTCTGCTTGGGGTCATCTCGCCCTCCAGGGTCACCAGCACCAGCCAGTCTTGGAAAACAGACAGCTTGGGGTACAAAGTTCATCTGACTTTTATGTAGTAGTAACCACCGTGGGGCTTTTTAGAATTAAACCTAAGTGCCATTTTCCTCCTAAAGCTCTGGCATGTGGCAACAGTTCTCTCAAATGTCACCTCAGGAAGTTTTACCCAAGAAAAGGGAGGTGGGGAGAAGTTTTTGCCAAATCAGGAAATGTGAATTAACTGACTGAGGAACTTGAAAAAGGAGACCAAGACGACAGAGAAGAAGGGAAGTGGGAGAGCTCGAGGGAGTCCTCTGTGCAAGTGAACTTGGGACAGGCAGCCGGACTCGCATTTCATATAGATTCTGTTGGCTCGAATTTCCTTTTTATAGTGGGCTGCCTTGAGAAACCCCAGACTTAACGCAGTATTCATGGAAGGAAAACCTGAGGTATTAACAGGGATTCCAGCCCTGTGATGTAAACAGTCACCTTAGGGGTGGAAACTCTGCTTTCAGAGTTGCGTGAGTTCCCTATTTCACATCACGAATCTGACCGCTGCTTTCTGCACAATGGATGGTTTCAAACAATGAATACATTATGTAGATCCAATAGGAGTTTCCTCCACCCATCTATTGGATCTACCTCATGGTTTCACACAGGGTTGGCATGCCCTGAGGACACAGAAAAGAAAGCCTAGTTTTGAAACAGGTGCCAGGAACCAAGAAGAATGAGTCACTTTGGGAAAAATGAAGGCAAAATGCAAGTTCATCGGCCACTAGGTCTGCGTGAGTGTTTAAAAATAAAATTAACCTTTTCACTTCTGACATCTATGTCTTGGTGTTATATAGAAACAGAAGTCAAAGTTTTGAAATACAAGGATTTTCATCCAAAAAGATTTGCCCCAAAGTGGTTTTCTATCCCTATTGGTTCTCCCTGATTTCCAGACCCAGTGCTGATCAGGGATGCCCTGGTCAGGAGGCATCAAAGAGACAAAGCCAGTGACTCAAGACACTGGCACAGCAGCCTTCAGGAAGTGCTCACTGTGCCCGTATTCATGCAGGCGCATGTGTCTGTGTGCAGTTGCACTAACATGTATGACAGTGACATTATACAGCATGAATGAAAGTACACCATAGTTTCTATGCAGAAGTCTTCTGGGTCTTTCCTAATCCAAACCCATCTTTCACTAAAAAGGCCAAGTCCTAGACAGAGCAGACCAGGCTGTGATAAAGGGGCATAAAGTACATTATTATGGTTGGGGTCCAAACACCACCCCCCAAAGGTTGATGGTGTCGAAGGCTTTATTGGTAGCTGATAGGTTTCTTAGCAGGTGACTGGATATATTATCATTAATGAGTTTATCCTTGATGAATTCATAGCTCAGTACATTTATTGGAATTAGGACATAATTGGATGGGGGGGCACTGAGGAACCATGGCTTTGCAAGCTGTATCATTCACTCTCACTCTTTCTTTGTGTTTTGGCTGCCATCAGATGAGCAGCCTTTCTGCCAGAACATTTCTGCTTCATCATGGAGCTATAAGCATCCAGCTACCCATGAACTGGAACCTCTGAAACCGTGAGCCAAAATGAACCTTTCCTCTGTTATGTTTTGATTCTCAGCTACTTTGTCACAGCAATGGAAAGCTCACTAATAGGTGCCCAGGAAGGCTTGGGTCAAGGGTTTGCAAGCTCCAGTATCTGAGATATTCATTCTAAAAAATCTCAGAGGTTCCACTTCCAAAGATTCAATTGTCCAGGGTACAACCAAGAATGGCATTTTATGTTTTATTTTGAGACATGATCTTATAAATTAGTAAGTTGCCTAGGATGAGTTCATAGTTTCCACTCTCCTGCCTCAGCCTCCAAGAGTGCTGGAATTACAGGCATGTGCTACCACACCCAGCTGGGGACGGGCACTTTAACCAACATTCCAGCCATTCGCTATGCCAGGAACAAGGTTACTCCGTGAGCCAGTCTTCCTGTTTCCACACAGTGTTTAGACTCTTTAAAGTGTACTGCTTCCTGCCGATCCTCACTAAAACATCAGTGTCAGTTTTCCTGTAATTTGTGAAGCCAACTCTGAATCTCCTTTTCCCCTGCTCAGTCCTCTCTTTTCTCTCCCACTTTGTTCCTCTGTTCTGATTTTCCCTTTATCCCTCATCTCTGTCTGCTTTTCCTTAATTTAGTTTAAGAAGCCATTTAATGAATTCCCACTACAATTTGAAAGTACAAATGAATTAAGACAAAGCTCCTCTCCTTCAGAGGATGAAGTCTGGTTGGAGAGTAGATCAAACAGTCCACTGATTGGCTGATTGATTGATTAACTGATGGACTGATTGACACAGGGCTCACTACGGAGTTCAGGCTGTTTTTGCGGGGGGGTTGACTATCCCTTTTATTTTGGTGGGATGGTTATCAAGCTGGTTGAACTTTCTCTGTAACTTTCCCAGGCTGGCCTCAAACTTACAGATCCTCCTGCCTTAGCCTCCCAGGTGCGGGGATTAGGGGCAGCACTGCCACCCCCTGAACACCATTTTAACAGGGTGAGCTAAGGTAATTTTGTGCGGGCCACTCTCAGCCGAGGGTGGCCCAGAAGCTGGGTTCTCCTGCACGTGCAATGGACAGCTGGTTTCCAGGGAATGGATGTCTCCACTCTAGGATCCCACTTCCAACACCCACCACACTAAAAGGCAGGCAATTTCCCTACTGCCAGTTTACTAGCCCATAAACGCGAGTACCAGAGAAAAAGACAAAAACGGATTCAAAGTTGTACCTGTGAAATGATGCAGTGTCAGAGATGCTCAAAGATGAAATGTACACTGATCAAGGTAACATATGAAATCTACTCTAAATAGACTTTCTGTCTCTCTCTCTCTTTCTTTCTTTCTTTCTCTTTCTTTCTTCTTTTGTCTTTTGAGGCTGGCCTTGCACTGTTTGTGGCCCAGAGTGATCCTCCTGTTTCAGTCTACCTCATGCCTGCACCACCACACCCAGCTTTAAACAGACATTCTAAATATAGATTTTTGTTTTCTCCACTTGCACTGGAAAACATTAGTTGGTAGATAAAACAACAGATTTGGGGAACATTCTCCTGAGCACCCCCAGTCTTCCACCAGGCTGAAGTCCTCTCTCCTTTCAGCCCACTTGCCCTTGACCTGACATCTTCTGTTTTTCACTTTCCAGTTTGTGAGGAAGGAATGAAAAAGATCTTTGCTTCTAGCAGTTTGACAATGGCACTGAAATTTCCACACGAATTCTAAAGAAGTCACCTGAGCCTGCTGAATTTGCAAATAACGGCGTGTGCCTTTATTGAGAGAGGAAGCGAGGATACACATTTTATTTCATTGTGTGCCTCCTGGCTAATTAGAAAACATTCATTAAGGCTCCGGGGCCCAAAGAAAAAGCTCAAAGTGTGAACAGAAACCAAAGAGCATTACCTCACTTCCTCCAAACCTTCCCTAAGGGCACCCTGGTTTTGGAGAGAGTGACTCAGGCCATAGAAATGAAGCAAAACAGAACAATTTCCAATACTGATGACTTCGGATCACAACCTGACACAGAAGAAGAGGATATTTGGGGGGAAAAAAATAAGAGAGACAAACAAAGAGTGTGGTTTTCTGACCAGGCTGAAAATAATGCAGGAGGTATGTAAGTCTAAGGTCAGTCATAGCATGTGTTCTTTTTTTTCTGTCCTCTATAAAAGTTAAAAAACAGCCTACCAATGTTAGTGAATTAAATGTTAGGACGTTTAAATTCCACAAAATTCATGGAATATGAGTAAGATCTTATGCTATTTCAAATTGAATTTTATTATTAAAGGGACATAAAAGAATGGAAGCTCTTTTCTTATTGTGACTTCTGAAAATAGCTGTTATTCTTCTATTGAAATTTTAAAGTTTCCTGCCACAGGAGCCTCCTGAAGCCCAGTTCTTTGCCTTCAGCAACCGGCTGGGCTGTACTTACAAATCTTTTGTTCTTGTTCAGGTGCTGCTGGAATAGTGATGTTTACATACGAATGCAAATTGCTTCTGGAAGAACCCAGGAGTGATCTCTGGGCTGTGTCCATGGCAAATTCCTGAAGTGGGAGTCTGTTATTGTGGCTGCTGAGTTGCATTTACTCCAAGAGCTTGGGCACCAGACAAACCTTGTCCCATCTCCAAGCACCCCACCCCCTGCCAAGTTCCAAGACTCTGGAACACACAGCAGCCAAAGAAGTGTAAGAAAAATCAGGCCTTTTGCATTTTACAAAAAAAGCATTAACTCCCACTGAGCTCTAGAAGGCCACTGGCCACCTCCTGCTTCGTTTTGAACTCCAGGTAAGAGACAATTATCAAATATTTTTGTGGTTATAATGTGCCAGTTTTAAAGCTATTTGGATTTTTAAATTTAATTTTATGAGCAAGAAAGACTACCAAATGGAACTTTAAAAGTTAAATTTTTATTTCCCCCTTTGGAGACAAGCAGCTTCTCCAAATTTCTTCAGGTCTAAGGTGTTTCTGTTGCTGATGTTTTCTTAGTAGATGTTGCTGGTGACACCTGATCTTGAACTCAATGGCTTGTAATTCTCCTCTCCTGATGCCCAGGATCTATTCATCTGCCCCCACACACCCAAAATTCAACACAAACAGGTAAGTCCCTGTTACCTTCTGAAAAACTTTGCAAGGATTGCTGACCATGCTTGGAGCCCTCCTAGAACCCTGCTGTGAGAGTTCCCTTTTCTATACTCAGAGCAAAGGAACATCCTTATCTCTGAAGGCAAAGGTCACAGAGAATACTCTGAGCAAACAGGCCTGCAGTTTCCCTTGGTTTATCATTAGGTCATTCCTGTTTTAAGTCCTGTTTCTCCACCATTACCCGCTAGCATGAAAGCACTGTCCACAAGGTTAAGCGTTACTTCAGGTCTTCATTTCCTTATGAAGGCTACTGTGTCATATAAAAATCACATAAAATAGATTTGTATGCTTATTTCCTTTTCAGTTTGCTTGTTTTTGTTTTGAGATGGTATCTTCCTCTGTTGCCCAGGCTGGTCCTGACCTTCTGGGCTCAAGAAGCTTCTGCCTCAGCTTCCCAAGTAATGGGACTCCAAGTGTGTAGCAATGTGTCTGTTTTGCTTTTTCTCTCTGCAGTGTGTCATTTGTTATGAGCACTTTAGCCAAGAGCCTAAGATGAGTGAGGAAGAGACAATCTTCCTTTCCTACATTCTTGTCAACTTATCCTGTTTCTAGAAGGCAGATGAATGCTAAACAATGTGTGAGGTCCTGGGAGGGCACAAGGACTAACATATGGCAGGAAGTTCCACCAAGAAAGAAGACTCAGTGACATAACTGAAGGCCAGCCACAAAGGGCGGTCCTAGGGAGACGGCTACAGGGGGACAAGGCACCATCCTTGGGGTCACCATCACCATCCTGGAGCTAAGGAGCATCTCCAAGAAGGTGACGCTGAGTGAGCAGCGAGCCAGTGGCAGGGCATGGCACTTTGCAGAGGGTCAGTGTTTTGCTGTGCAGACGGGGAAGGGGAAAGGGAAGAAGTGTGGCAGTCTGCATGGAGGGAGGGACCATGGAAAGAGACCAGTGGTCAGAAGCCACGCTGGAAGCCTGAGCAGGAAGGCCGTCACATGACACGGTAAGGAGTGTGGAGAACGACTGAAGAGACGCCAAGAAAAAAGTGGCAGGATTTGATGTGCAGTGAGGAAGATCACTACGGTTTTCTCATGGAGGAGGATGTTAGACTGCTCTGGTGCCTTGGATGAGAAACTCCACAGAGCTGACCTGATACGTACTCACTGATAAAATCATTCAGATTTATTGAAGTTTACTGGGGCAAGACTGTGAGCAAAAACACAACTGCCCACAGAGTTTAGTAGGTGGTGAAGGTTGGCTGGGAGACTTAACTCAGCAACGTAAGCGCCTGCTTGGCAAGCACAAGGTTGTGAGTTCAATCCCCAGTACCAAAAAACAAAACAAAGCAAAACAAAGAGGTGGTGAAGGAAGTAAATATTAATAACATAATTACACAAATAAATGCAAAATGACAAGGTTGACAGGTGTTTTCTTGTGCTAGAACTACATTTACCAGCTTTCCTTGCAACAGGAATGGCCATGTAATTAAAATCTAGCCAATAATATCTAAGTAAAAGTGAGGAGGTGTGTTGTATAAACTGGGCTTATGAATGTGTGAAGGAAAACCACACTGATCGCCTGAGTGCTAGCCTGGGAGTGTTATGTGAGCAGGAAATAAATACCAAGAGACGAGCAATTGTACTTTGTGTATTTGGGTCTACTTGTTACATCAGCTTAGCTTATCATTAGCATACACACACAACTTATATAGCATAAAAGAGAGCCAGAAGGTAAAATAATAGCATAAAATTCGGGGAGCTAGACATAATCTGAAGAAAAAAGTCAGAAATATTTCACTGTGAAATTCTAAAGATGAACAGGGCAGAGGACTTCACTGGGGTGCATAAAAAGTGAGCAGTTTAAGAAATACCAGACACATACACTCCAGGGCTAGAGAAATGGATGTGTGTGTGAAAGAGAAATGAAAGACACCTTCCAGGGTTCTGCCAAAGCACGGCAATGCTGGCCTAAGAGGATACAAGAAGTTTGGGAGGAATGGTAATAAGAGAAAAGTAAAGCTAATAGTGGTGCCCAAGGAGCACACTAGAGACCTCCTGATGGTTGACAGTGTGACTCCTAAGCTCTGTAGAGAGGGATTGAGTGGTAGAGGAGGGCAGAAGAGTCAGCTGCCTGGAATACAGGAGGGAGTGCAGGGGGTTCAAGGAGGTATCAGAATGTCAGAAAACAGCTGAGAATCCAGCCCACAGAATGGCGGGGAGGGATCTAGGAAGAGGGGTCTTCAGAAAGCTCAGGAGGAACACACAGAATGGTGAAGAGAACTGGGTGAGCAAGAGAAAGATATCCTTAACCCAAAGAAAAGACTTTACAGCTCTAGTTTTAAAATAAAAGTAGAATCAGTTTTTCTCTGCTACTTTTGCATGGAGAAGGATTCTGAAGTGAAAAAACATTTAGGATGATCATAAGATGTTGCTAGATTGGCATTTGGAAATTTGGGTTTAAAAGGAGGCTGAGGCAGGAGAATGACAAGTTTGAGCCCGCACTGGGAAATTCGGCAGCTCCCTGTCTCAAAATAGAAAATGTGGATATAGCTTAGTGTAAAGGTCCTTAGTACTGTGAAAAAAAAAAAAAAAAAAAAAAAGAAAGAAAGAAAAGAAAGATTGAAGAGTTCTTACATGATGACAAGGAATTTAAGCAGGAGCTTTTAAAGTTTTGGCTAAAGTTATTCACACTGCACATGATTTTATTTTAAAATAGTACTGAGAATGGATTCCAGGGTTTCACGCATGCTAGGCAAGTGCTCTTCCACTGACTACAGTAGCCAAGACACGGAATTTAACTTCTCACTCAGGACATTGTCAGGTCACACAGCTAGTCATGATAGAGCACTCAGTGTCCTTAGGTGCTGGTTGGGTCTGTGTTGCTGTGAGAATCGAGAAGAAGGTGGAAGCAACTTCAGAACTGGAGTAAAATATTCCACTGAAGCCAGAAAAGTACACTTTGGCCTCTAAGTTCCTTTCCTTGTGGTTTTCTTTTTTCCCTTTGATTTTGCAAAATTGTTGAAAGTTGACTGTATTCAGAGTCACTTCAATAACCAAAAAAGGACCTGACCACTTCCCTCTCCGCTTCCCCTTTATTCCCTACTAACTTTTCTCAGTTCTCTTACCTTTGAAAAGGGGATGGACCTTCCTCATTTCTCCTCTACTTCCCAAAGCCCAAGTTAGCTCTTCTGGTTGGCACGACACGACACGTTTTCTTAAGGAGGTAATAACAGTCCCACTTGGGCCTTCTCTTCTGCCTTTCCCCACCCCGGGCCCCCACACATTCAAAAACAGAGTCTCCCTTTTCCTGTTCTCCGTTCCTCTCACTTTAGCCCCTGCTGAGGAAGGAGCCTTTTGTTCCTTCTCATTTGTTCCTTTCCTACTCATTTTTCTCATTGGCAATTTCTGTAAACGGCTACCTTAAAACATTGGCTCTGCTTCTGCATCTTGTTCTATTTCCTCCTGTGTACAGTGGAGTCAGGACCACAGGGTAAGGGACACGTTCTGGGAGAGGGACACTTCCAACACAGTGGCACCGTCATCAGTGTCCACAAAGCAAATCACAAAGGTACTATCTTGGATCAATCAGAAACTGGCTATTTTTAAACCTTTGTGTGAATCTGGTGATGCTCAGAGGACCGATCAAGATACTCTTTTCAGTCCGTCATTTGTATGTGGGCACAACCAATTGAAAGATACCATTTTGGATCCTTCATTTACATGTAATAGGAACTCACTGAAGTTTTTATAATAGTTTATACTTGACGTAACACCAAATGCTTGATAGATTGATTTTCCTGATGCTTTATTTGTATGCCAAATAACCTGGGAATTTTAGGTACAAAATTTCTTTTTTTATCCTGGGGCCTCTGTGAGCTGCTTTAACTCTGCAGAGCATACGTCTCTTCTGCTTCCAATAAATGTACACATGCCCTGACTTTTCTATGTGTTGCTCAATTCATTGCTGGGGACACAGAACCTCGAAGGAAGCCCCATGGGCCTCCCCCATCTGGTAACAGGGTCACCCCAAGTCAGTGAAGTATGGTCCTCACTTCCGGTGGTATGCTTTGACTTCCTGGTCAGTCAGGTGAGCATGAAAATACTTCTTCCCAAAGCAGCCCCCTCCCCTATTTTTTCCACACCATTATGGGCAAGACACTTTCTTACATAGTTTAGGAAAGAAGACTTTGGTCATTTCTCTCTGCTCTCAAATTGCTTATCACACACAAGTAAAAGTTAATGGTTTCTTAAAAGCGATCATAGCAAGAAATAGCATGATAAGTATCACAGGCAATGAGTGGGGGTGAGTTTAGAGAAAGGGGGGGCAGGGTACATCTGAGAAACCAGGCAGTGTTCATGGCAGAGCAACTTTGAGCAGCCCTCGAGAAAATGAAGCATTCCTGGAGTCCAGTGAAGTGCAAAAGAGAAAGAGTTTGGTACTTCAATGAGTATATCCAAAATACAAAATTGTCTGTAACTATGAAGTGTTGTTTTTTTTTGTTTTGTTTTGTCTTGTCTTTTTCATTTTTATCGGTACCAGGGATTGAACTCATGACTGCCTGCTTGCAAGGCAGGCGCTTATGCCGCTGAGCTACATCCCCAGCCCTGAAGTATTGTTATTTTTATCCCCTTGTAAATCATTACCAGAAGCAAAGCAACTTCAAAAGCCCCTACTTTCACATCATGGTCTTGAGATGCATCCATTTACCTACAAATGCCTCAAGTTTATCCTTCTTCTGGTACTGGGAATCAAACTCACAAACTTGCACTTGCCAGCAGGCACTGTGCCTCTGAGCTGTACCTCTCACCCAACCTTATCCTTTTTTATGGCAGAGTAGTATTCTCTTGTGTGTAATACCACATTTTCTTTACCCATTTATCTATAGATGGGAATATAGGCCACTTCCAAGATTTAGCCATTGTGAATTGTGCTCCTCTAAACATGGGTACGCATATATCACTGTAATATGATGACTTTAATTCTTTCAGTAAGATACTCAGAAAGGGAATAGCCAGGTCAAATGGAATTTCTATTTTTGGTTCTTCAGAGACCTCCACAGTGGTTGCACTAGTTTATGTTCCCACCAGCAGTGCTGAGGGCTCCTTTCTCCGCATTCCCTGTAGCCGCACCAGCATTTGTAATTATTTGATTTCTTGATTAAGGCCATTACTTCTAGAATAAGAAGAAATCACAGTGTTGCTTTAATTTGCATTTCACTAATGGCAAGAGACATGAGCATTTTTTCATGTATTTATTTACCATCAGTACTTATATAAATTTAAATATCTCAGTTTCCCTTTTATGAAAAATCAAAAAAAAAAAAAGAGAGAGAGCAAAATAAAAGATAGCTCACAGGAAGTAGGGAGATCTTTTTCAAATGGAAGGAGAACAAGAGATGGAAGGGGGCTTGGGCATGTTGGTGCAGGCCTGTAATCCCAGCACTTGGGAGGCTGAAGCAAGAAGACTGTGGTGAGTTTGAGACCAGCCTGGGTTACAAAGTAAACTCAAAGCCAGCCTGAACTGCATGAAGAGACCCTGTCTCAAAAAGACCAAAAATAAAAAATAAAGAAAGAGAAAGGAGAAGAAAATACAGAAACATCTGATTAAACAGTAAAACAAAACCAAACCGGAAACCATTGCAAGCCGGGGGTGGCCCATGCCTGTAGCCCCATCCTTTAGGCTGCTGAGGCTGCTGGCTCACAGGGTTGAGCCCAGCCTGGGCAAATTAGCGAGGCTCTGTCTCAAAATAAAACTATAACAAAAGGCTGGAGAGGTAGCTGAGTGCAAAGTCCCTGGGTTCAATCTCTGGTACAGCAAAATTAAGCAAGTATGCCAGTAAGTAAGTAAACCTCCATTGCTTGGCCGACTTGAAATGCCTGATTTATCAGAGCTGCAGGGTTACAGCAAAATCAAAGGGAAACAACTGATTTATTTATTTTTTGTGTATCCTGAACCAATTAAGGTTTTTGACCGTAGATTCAACAAGTAAGAGAACTGATATAAAGAGCATAAGAAGGACAGAACTTCTTTACTTTTGTCTTTTGCTCTTAAGGCTAATTTTTTTTCTTAGAAAGATGGGTCTTTAAGACATAAAGAAGATTTGTAGTTGCACGAAACAGAAACAAGCCACACAAAGGGACTGCCATGCCCCACGCCACCCCTTCTCTCCCCTTAGAGGTTGCCCAGGCTGGTCATGAACTCAGGATCCTCCTGCTTCAGCCTCCCGAGAGCTGGGATTATAGGCACATGCCAGTGCACCCAGCTCATGCTTCTCCTTTAGACACAGAAGTCTGTGCATTGTTTATTATGATCCTGTTACCTTGGCCAGAGCCAAAGAATGGGGCAGTGCTCCCTTCTCCCAGAGCAGGAGGGCTAGGCAGCCAAGTGTAACTTGTGAGAAGGCTGAGTGTGAGCGCTCTGTCCAATTGATTCGCACAACAGTCTGCCTGAGCCTGAGGACACCCAGGCAACAGGTGCTGTGTTCCTCATGGACTCTGATCGCAAGTCCCACCACTGAAAAGAATGTCAGTGGACGGCACCAGGCATGATCAAAACGTACAAGAAGTGCTTAAGTAGGAAAAAGTTATCACAGTAGAGAACTGTTGGTGCTCCTTCCCCTCAAAATACTCCGCCCTGATTTGAATACACTTATCCCATGGCGCCTGCCACTTCCTGAAACAGTTCTGCCCGTCCTCTTTCCTGACTGTCTTTGTGTGGTGCGATTCAAAATGCAGCGAATGCTGCAGAGAGACCATCCCAGGGAAAGGCAGGCCCCTAAAAACACTAGCACGCCCTCACTGACTTCATTTTCCAGGTCTGCAGCCCTGAGACTTCAAATCAGAGCGGCCATGAAAAGTAAACGTTTGGGATCAATCCAGGCTACGAGGCAGCCACATCAGAGCAGCGGAAGACACTCGTGAAAGAGCATTTCCAGGACTAAGAGCCCTTCACAGGGTAGTGTAGAGAATTAAATAACATGGTAAGTATAATCAACGCAGAAAAGTGTCTGCCACAAAATAATATGGTAACAAAGTCGATTATCATCTCTATCCACTGTGATATTAAACAGGATAATGAGCTTAGCATATATAGTATAATATCTGACATGTAAATTTAACAGGAATTAGCAGTTCCTGGGCTGGGGACCTAGCTTACCGGGCTAGCCTATGCTTAGCGTGAGTAAAGCCTGGAGTTTCATCCTCAATGCCATGAAAAAAATAAGCAATTATTATAACATCAGCGTGACAATTAACACTATGATTCCTGAAATCCTTTCCCAGTAAATGGACTGATTGTTCAGGCTACTGGAGACTGGCTTGGCACGTGTGATTGAAAGCTGCTGATGGCTCCAGGGCCTCCCCAGGACGTCCAAGAGTGACCAGAAAACACGCAGTCATCAGTCAGCAGCTTGGAGGGTCAGTTCCAAGCCCCGGGACAGATGAATTATGTGACCTTGGCGGGGTCATTTGATCTCTCTGAGTTTCAATTTCCTCACTGTTAAATGAAGACCTCAAGGTTCCTTCAGCTCATAAATGTTGCCATTAGAAGCCTTTGTGTGGTTTTAAATTTTAAAATCTTGGTTTGTAGATAAGCATTTAAAAGCTAATTAAAACCTGGGCTTGCAGTGAATATTAACTTCAGTTTCAGCCATGAAAGAGATTTCCTTTTTTAATCTCCTGAGAACATTTTTCACAGAATCTGAAATAAGGGTCAGTGTAAGTTTAAGTGTGCAACATGGCAATCTAATCATCATTATATTATTCTTAATGCATATCGCTGACATAGTATAAATGGAAGGGCTTACGTTTAAGCCAGTGCAAGGCAGTCGATTTCATTTGGCATGGCATAGAAATTTAGGTAATTTAGACACTGGGTCTGGAAGTACCGAAGACCCCTTTTCTGTATGGAGTGTTTTCCACGGTCTTTGGCAGATGGTTGAAACTGTGTAGAGCGCAGAACCGCACATTTTAACATGCTTCTTCACACTTGCTTTTAGCATTGTCCTCCTGTGATTTATGGCCTGCTGTCCTCTTGGCATTATTACTTTTGTATTTTGGTAACATTATTAGGTAAAATAAGGGTTTCTTGAACAACAGCAGTGGACTACAGCAATAGCTCATCTCCTCGATGCGTGCCTGATGGGTGGGTGGAATGTCCTGCGCGTGTGTGGGGGTGAAGGAATAATGAGATGGACGATTTGTCAGGTGAGATGCAGGATACAGCACGGGGTCCATCGCGCCAATCAGAAGGGCTCAAGATTATTTCTGGAATTTTCCACTTAATATTCGCAGGCTGTGGTTGACTGCGGGTAACTGAAACCCTGGAAAGCAAAACCCCAGATAAGCAGAACTACTGTATCTAAGATTTCACATCACTCTTTTCTATTATCTTCAAAGAGTTTATCATGTGAAAGCATTTTTATAAAGTTACTATCAACACTGTCAGTTGCACCCAGATTTCTCCAGAAACATAGTGCTAGTTAAAAATCTGCACAGCTCTTTCTTTCTTTTTTTCTTCCATTCCAAGAGCCAAAAATCCTCTATTCCATTTTTATTTCCAAAGGCAGCGTTGGGCTGTGGCTTGGCAGTGGAGGGTGTGGTTTTGAGGGGTTGGCGAGGGGAGGGATTATAAACACTACAACATGTGGTTGTGATGACAATTTAGTGTCTGGAGATCAGCATACATCCTTGAAGCTCCAAGTTTACACATAAAACATCCCTAAATAGTTTAGAGCTATCCATGAATCCAAGAGAGTGATAGTAAGAGCAGCAGGGGAAGAGGAAGAGAAGGGAGAGAGGGAGAGAGAGGAAGGAGGAAGGAGAGGAGCGGGGAGGAGAGGAGAGAGGAGAGAGGAGAGGGAAGGGGATAATATCTTAGTTTGAATCATGGAAATATAAAACAAGCAAGGGCCCTTAAAGATCATCTATTCAGGGGGATGTAGCCATAAACTTGCCCAAGGACTTGGCTTCCATCCTCAGTACCACTACCAACACCACCTCCAGAAAAATTAAAAAGGAACCACGGCAAGAAAGATCATCGAGTACAGTTCATTAATCAATTATTCATAAAGAAAACTGAGGCCCAGAGACATGCAGTCCTTGTATACAGTGCTGTATCATCAATAACCAAACCAGAACTAGAACATAGGGGACTTGTGGAACTGGACATTCATTCATTCATTCATTCATTCATTCATTCACAGATGTGACACGATTGAAAGACTTCTATGTCACAGAGTCCTTGACTGATGGACAAAACGCTTCCACAGCGCAGGCTGCAGGGGGAGAATGCTACAGTGCAGTTAGCAAGTACATAACAAATGAACCCCAAGCAGTGTAAGAGAGAGGATGTGACAGGGCAGTGGCAGTGTGGGGAGGGAAGGCTTCTCGGAGGAGATGGCCCGGAGTATGACGGGGAGCAGCCTGGCAAAGACTGTGGATCAGAGTTTCTAGGCAGAGGGGCACAGCAAGTGCAGAGGTGGAGCGATGTGTGTGGAGCAGGGCAGGGAGGTGTGGACGGGACCAGGTAGGGCTGTACACAGAACACTCAAGGGTGGACTTTATGTGCAGTAGAAGCCACTAGAAGTTTTAAGCAGGCAATGAACATGATTTGGTTTATAGTTAAGAAATATCTGCTGTGTGGACGATTGACTAGGAAGAGCTAAAGTGGATGCTAGACCAGCAAGGATGCCTTACACATGGCTGGAGAAGGGCCGTGATGGACCAGGCTCGTGGCATTAGAGTGGAGAGATTCTAAACTCAGAGAAGGCACAACTGGGCACACCCTCCAATTTATGATTCAGTGTTCTGCTTCATGGGGAAAAAGATGATATTTATAAGTAAAATGAGATTCCAAAACCTTTAATCATGATTATCATCATTTTGTATCAATTTTGTGTTAGGCCATATATTTGTTTAAATATGATTACAATTTATAAATCTTAAGGACCAGAAGTCTCCACCCTCACTACACTTTAATTTCAGTATAAAAATAATCCATCACAAGAAAGCAACCCATGCCAGGGTTTTCATAAAAGGCAAAAGTAAACTATTAGCTTCTGGTCTGAAGTCAGTGTAGATTTAGCTCAATTTCATGTGCAGTTTTTATGTTTACATCTGCATAGATATTCACATTTCAATGACTTTTTATCATGACCAGAAAGACAGAGACAGATCAATAAAATATGCTCTATAAAAGGGAACTTTAAGGTTTTAGAAATGTTTTCAGTGGTGAGAGTTGAAATAGTTGCTTAATAATTTTAACTAAGCAAAAGTATTTTGTATTCAATTAATTAGACCCACTAAATCTAAGAGTTTTGATTTTGTTTTATTCTATAACACTTTTAGAAAAGACTGTTGTGATTATATGTGCCATTCTGGGTTACCCACTTTAGAATATTTTCCCAAATGTGGAAAAAGATTAAGTGTGACATGAAGCTCATGGGACATGCCAAGAGCCTCCAGATCAAATGTCCCTATAACATAAATGGCTGTCACTGAATAACCCTAAGATGTCCCAGATGCTATAAATATGTCAAATATAATCCACACGCCAAATATGCAAGTTTGGGGTTATTCTCAATCTCTAGAGAAAATGCAGCTGAGGTTCACCTAGCAGAACCAAGTCAGGAAGCAAACTCAGCCTGGTTTTTAAGCCCAGTCTCTCGGACAGGCCTGTGTTTATGAATCGGTCATTCTGATTCGGAGCAGAGAAATTTTCATGTAAGACTTCACACTCAACCTCCAAAACCGATGTCTCCGACAATGTCTCTGGCTGTATTGCTGACACTTTCTCCTCACGAGGACCCTGCTTGGGAAATTCTGCATCGACCTGGTGCTGCTCAGACTCCAGTGATGTATAGAGCTCTTCAATAATAGGGAATAAAGCTCCATCTTGGATGTAAGTCATTCTTCGAAAATATATATGAGCTTAATAATACTTGTTATAAATTCCTTATGCTTATAATTTTAGAAGTGTAATAGTGGAACCAAAATCAGTTTTAAAAATTACACCGACACGTAGAGAAGCTCTGTAGTTCACATCACTGTAGTTTTCCTGAGCATCAGTCCACGTCCTGGACGTTACTGATTTTTCCATTTGGCTTCCCTGGTCTAGCTCTGCTAGCACTTTCCTCCCTCCCGTCTCCTTACAAACCTTCACTCCTATGGCAAACATGATGTGCTATGTCTGGAATCGGGACAAACTTACTAGCCTTGCTGCTATTTTTGTTATTTCTTGATTTGACCTCACTGCAGGCATAGGTAGTACACGGGGTCACACCCCAGGCTGGTGGCACTCAGCTGCAAGCTGATCCTTCAGCTGACCCGGGCAATGCTTGTGACTACAGTTTAAGTATTTCAAAAATGAAACAAAAAATCATATTATAAAGAAAACGTTGACCTACAAATGATTACCCTCTGGTTCTGCAATTTCTACTTTTTGAACAAACTAGCACATGCATTATACGGTCTAGGGAAAGTTAAAGTTTCCCTCCTTAGGATGTCGTTCTTATATCCTACTAGGGGATATACAGGGCTGCGAACCGAAAGAATGAGGTGGCTCTGTGGATACTGATTTGAAAAGATAGTCTCTATTCGCTAAGTGGCAAGAGCAAGATATCACAATTGAAATCGGGCACTCCAAGTGACACTTGTTCACAATGTTCATAGCAGCATCTTCACAGTAGGCAAAAGGTGCAAATCAGCGTCCACTAACAGACAAGGCGATAAGTATGGTATATACATGCAAAGGAATATTACTCAGCAATAAAAGGAATGAAGTTCTTATATACCCTAAAACATGAATTTATTTAAGGCTGAGTGAAATAAGCCAGACAAGTAAGTATGATTCTACTTATCTGATGCACCTAGAATTGTCAAAGTTACAGAACTAAGAGGAAAATAGAGATTACTGAGAACTAGGATAAGAGAAGTATTAGGGATTATTGTTTAATGAGTAGAGTTTCTGCATTGGA